GGAATTTTTGGGGGAGTTTTGATTTTTTTGGGAATTTTTAGGGGAATTTTGATTTTTTCGGGAATTTTTGGGAGGGAATTTTGAATTTTTCGGGAATTTTTGGGGGAGTTTTGATTTTTTTGGGAATTTTTAGGGGAATTTTGATTTTTTCGGGAATTTTTGGGAGGGAATTTTGAATTTTTCGGGAATTTTTGGGGGAATTTTGAATTTTTCGGGAATTTTGGGGGGAATTTTGAATTTTTCGGGAATTTTTGGGAGGGAATTTTGAATTTTTCGGGAATTTTTGGGGGAATTTTGAATTTTTCGGGAATTTTTGGGGGAGTTTTGAATTTTTCGGGAATTTTCGGGGGTCCTGGGGGAGAATTCTGAATTTTTGGGAATCCTGAGTGGGAATTCTGAATTTTTCGGGAATTTTTGGGAATCCTGGGGTGGGAATTTTGAATTTTTTCGGGAATTTTGAGGCTCCCGCGTTGAAATTCTGGAATTTTTTTTAAATCAATTTTAACATTTTCGGGGCTCCCATTGAAAAAAAAAAAAAAAAAAAAAAAAACCCCAAAAACTTCAACCCCAAAATTCCCAGGAGGGCGTCTCCGTTTATTAATCATCAATTAACATCAATTATTAATTAATTGCTGATCATTAATCGGATTTTCCAGGAGGAGGCAGGCGAGGAACGCGACGAGGCCAGCACGATGATCGCCGATTTCATCGATTGCCCCCCGGACGACGAGAAGATCCCCGAGACCCCCCTGTAAAACCCCCCCAAAGCCGCCCCTCCCCCAATAAACCCCGCCCCCTCCCCAAATTCCGCTTCCGGCTCCTCCCCCGCCGCCATCTTGGCGCCGTCGCGCTCTTGTGACGTCACCACGAGCGCGCCAAGAGGAGGACGACGCCATTTTGGTGCCGTCGCGCTCTTGTGATGTCACTAAAAACGCGCCAAGAAGGCGGCGCCGCCATTTTGGCGCCGTGAGGGGGGGGAATAAGGAGGCGCCAGGCCCTCTGTGCCGTCGCGCTCTTGTGACGTCACTACAAGCGCGCCAAGAAGACGCTGCCGCCATTTTCGGCGGCCTCGCGCTCTTCTGACGTCACTAAAAACGCGCCAAGAAGTTGGAGCCGTCGCGCTCTTGTGACGTCACTTTAAAAAAAAATATAACCAAGATCGAACCGTCGCGCTCTTGTGACGTCACTAAAAACGCGCCTAGAATTCGGAGCCGTCGCTCTCTTTTACGTCACTAAAAACGCGCCAAGAAGTAGGAGCCGTCGCGTTCTTGTGACGTCACTAAGAACGCGCCAGGACGCAGCCGCCATTTTTTTGCGCCGTCGCGCTCTTGTGACGTTACTTAAAGCGAAAAGACTGGGCAGTCGCGCTCTTGTGACGTCACTTAAAAAGCGACAATAAGTTGGAGCCGTCGCGCGCTTGTGACGTCACTAAAAACGCGCCAAGAAGACGCCGCCGCCGCCATTTTGGCGCCGTGAGGGGGAGGAAGGAGCCGCCGCCATGAAACCGCCGCGGCGGCTCCGTTTTCTCCCGTCGCGTTTAGCGGAGGCTCCGCGCAGCCCCGAGAGGCCCCGGAGAGGCGCGTGGGGGCTGCGGGAGAAGCGGGAGCTGCTGGCGGCGCTGAGGGCGGAGGCGCGGAGAGGCCTCCCCGAGCAGCGGCTGCCGGCGGCGCTGAGGGAGAAGCTGCCCCGGAGGAGCGAGGAGGAGGTGGGGAGGGAGCCGGGGAGGCTCGGGGAGATCCCGGCAGGGGAGCCCTGAAATCGGCACCTCAGAGAGCCCCGAAGTTCCCTCAGAAACCCCCAAATTCCCCCTCAGCTCCAAATTCCCCCTCAGAGAGCCCCGAATTTCCCCCAGAAACCCCCAAATTCCCCCTCAGCTCCAAATTCCCCCTCAGAGAGCCCCGAATTTCCCTCAGAAACCCCCAAATTCCCCCTCAGAGAGCCCCGAATTTCCCTCAGAAACCCCCAAATTCCCCTCAGCGAGCCCCGAATTTCCCTCAGAAACCCCAAATTCCCCCTCAGCTCCAAATTCCCCCTCAGAGAGCCCCGAATTCTCTCTCCAAAATCCCCAAATTTCCCCCTAAAACGGCCTCAAATTTTCCCTCAAAGGGCCCCAAATTTCCCCTTAGAAATCCCCAAATTTCCCCTCAGAGAGCCCCGAATTTCCTCTCAAAAAGCCCCGAATTTCCCCTCAGGGACCCCCAGAATTTCCCCCAAATTTCTCTCTCGGGGATCCCCAAAGTTTCGTTCTCAGAAACCTCAAAATTCCCCCCAAAATTCCCTCAAAAACCCCCAAATTCCCCCTAAATTCCCCCAGAAATCCCAAATCTCCCAAAAAATTCCCCCAAAATTCCCTCAGAAATCCCAAAATTCCTCAAAATTCCCTCAGAAATCCCAAATTTCCTCCAAAATTCCCTCAGAAATCCCAAAATTTCCCCAAAATTCCCTCAGAAATCCCAAAATTTCCCCAAAATTCCCTCAGAAATCCCAAATTCCCCCCTAAATTCCCACAAAAACACCAAATTCTCCTCAGAAATCCCAAAATTCCTCCAAAATTCCCTCAGGAATCCCAAATTCTCCTCTAAATTCCCACAAAAACCTCAAATTCCCCTCAGAAATCCCAAAATTTCCCCAAAATTCCCTCAGAAATCCCCAAATTCCTCCAAAATTCCCTCAGAAATCCCAAAATTTCCCCCAAATTCCCTCAGAAATCCCAAAATTTCCCCCAAATTCCCTCAGAAATCCCCAAATTCCCAAGTTTTCCCAATTTCCCCCGAACGATCCCGATTTTTCCCGGGTTTTGGCAGATCCGGGCGTTCCTGGTTCGGCTCCGGGGCCGAGCGGCTCGAGAGGCCCTGACCTCGAAATTCCGGAAATTTCTGCTCTTCCGGCGCCGGATCCGCGCCCCAATCCAGGTTTTTATGGGAATTTGGGGAATTTTCTGGAATTTTGGGGGTTCTGAGCTCAAAATCTGGGAATTTTCTGGAATTTTGGGGGTTCTGGGCTCAAAAT